TTCCAATATGAGAATAAAAACAAAAGGATTAGTTAGGAGAGGATAAGAAACTGGAATCACTTCCACATCCTGGAGTTAGAGAATTACAGTACACCCCCTTCATTTTTTTATATTGTGAGTTTCCAGAATAGCAGGCATAAATGTGTATTTAAATACAAGCGAAATCAGTTATCGCATATTGCAGGTAAAAGTTGATAACTAAAAAAAAAAAAAATAAATAAAAAAAAAAAAAAAAAGTTGATAACTGACTCTCCCAAACATAACTACTTATGAAGACACCTGGATCTCACAGCCATTTTCCAGTAAAAGCCTAAGACTTCTTAAAGCAAGAATCACTGGTTGTTACCCTGACATTTCTGCTCAGATAATGGAGCCTTTTCTTCGAACTTGTACCAATGTTTGCAGATTGTTTCCATTTTTGTTTTAGAGTCAGTGGGTAATTAGTAAGGAAAGAAGCCAACAGTAATCATCTCCTCAGATGTAAGATGTAGGCATGGGCTTGGACAAAAGAGTGGCCAGTTCCACCTGGTAACAGTAGGGGGTGCAGAATATGCAGGCACAGACATATGAGCATTGGATTTGATGGTAAACCTTCTGTAAGAGCTCTGCTGATTGTTTCTCTTTTCTTGGTGAAACAGGAAGCTAGGTCATCAGCTGAGAGTAAAGATGGGGGAAGAGTTTTACAGGGAAAGGAGATGTATTAGTCTGGTCTCACATTGCTATAAGTAAATACCCGAGACTGGGTAACTTACAAAGGAAAGAGGTTTAATTGACTCACAGTTCCACATGACTGGGGAGGCCTCAGGAAACTTACCATCATGGCGGAAGGCAAAGGGGAAGCAAGGTACCTTCTTCACAAGGCTGCAGGAGGGAAAAGTGCAAGCAGGAGAAATGCCAGTCAGTTGTTACAACCATCAGATCTCATGAGAACTCATTCACTATCATGAGAACATCATGGGGGAATCACTCCCATGATTCAATCACTTCCACCCTTGGTCCCGCCCTTGACACTTGGAGATTATGGGGATTACAATTTGAGATGAGAATTTGGGTGGGGACATGGCGAAACCATGTCAGGAGAGGATAATGAAATTGTCATTTAGGAGGGTGCGGAGGGAATAAACCTGCGAAATGGTTGAATTTGGAATGAGGTCAATCCCCCGGATGTTTTTCTGACACACTCATCTGTGTAGGCACAGACGCAGAAAAGGCACTGGCATTGAAGTTTTGCCATCGAAATGTAACAAAAACAAGAGGGAGGCTTAGAAGCTGAGGGTGGATCTCATCTTAGAGTGTTACAACAACAGAGTAAGCTGAGGGTGAATCTAAGGGAGTGATCATGACTGACCATGAAATTTCAGCTGGGCAAACAGAGAAGCCAGATGAGAGAGAGGACAGGGAAAATTTGTTACAGACACCAGTGGCTCGAAGAATTTTCAGGATTTGAGTACTAGAAGGGTTGAACTGGACTAACAGGCATCGGCCAAAGGATGAAAGACTTCACATTGAGTTTGTGGAGGAGCTGCATAGTCAGCACCGACAAGGTCAGAGGATGCCTAGGGAGGCTGTGTGTCTGATTTCAGATGGAGGACAAGGTGACGAGAGGAGTTGAGGTCATGGAATTGGGAAGTCAGAAAGTTGGGAGTACCACCCATGTGCCCACTGAGATCTTCCAGAATTGCAAACTGAAGATTTGGGAAATGAGAGATAGAGAGAAGTGGATGTCAGTAGCTGACTGCAGAAGGGGAAATAGTGCATGGTGTAGGCTGATAGGTTTAAATGGAAAGTTGGAGGGCTTTAAAAGGAGGAAGGGAAAATGTTTTCCTTACAACGCTATAGAGCAATGCTTTGTGGTACTGGGAGTGCAGTCGCAAAATCATTTGAGGGTGCTGCAGGCAAAGTAGTGTCCTCGGGTACGAGCCTGTTTCAGTTAGGGAAGAATGTAAGAACAACATTGAGAAAGCAGATTGCAGTTACGGGGCAGTTACTGCTGATTGTCCGTGAGTCCCCCAAGCACGGGGGAAGGGTCTCAGGGTTTGGGGCAGCTGGAATATGTGGTAGGAAAAAGGATACACAGAGTGGATGTGGAGCTTGGGGCTCAGCCTGGAGAGATGGCACAGGAGTCAGACATTCTTTGGTGACTGACATGAGCAGGGCATCTCAGTCAGGAACATTTATATTCTGATTATTCATGACAAGACCTACTGGCCTCTAGGCAGATGGTGGCAATGAGTCTCCCGAGAGGAAGCAGAGAGCTCTTGTCCCCAGCATTCCTGCCAGCGGTGGGGGCAGCTGCTCCAGGAGCTGGTGAAACTCTTGGGATCTCACTGGATGCTTGAGGCAACTGACATCACTTGATCAAATAAAATGTTTATATTAATGTCTGTTACAAGCATTCTTGGACAAATCATTTTTGTCTCTCTAACTTAGCTTTCTGTAGACAAGGGAGAGTGAAGCTCAATCATCTCTTAGAATATTTGTAAATAAATAGGATGCCAAGTAAGTTTCAAATATTAAGTGCTATACTAAAGCTTCTCTGATTTCAAACGCTGTTCACAATCAGCTTTCCAGAGTGGCAACAAAATAGACAGTAAAATAAGTATAATACTCACTTAGAAAATGAGTTGATAAAACCTAAAAAGATGCTGGTTAATTATTAATTCATTGTCAGATGGCAGAGACCCACAGCAGCCCTCTAATTTCTTTGTATGTGGTTCCTTTCTGTTTTCATTGATCTTTAGTAGGTATCTTGATTTTTTAGATTTGGATTAAAAATTAAACACTATATGTCATTGCCTTCCCGAAACAAAAATAAACTCCTTAAAATAATACATTTATATTAGCTTCTTAGCCCCTTCTCTGATTTGTGTTCACAATTCATATTCATATAGCACCTTTCAACATTCCTTCCCCCTAGTCCAAATTCTTTGGCAAAGACATTATCACATTATAGGAAACTAAAGTCAGTCTGCAGTTCTAGGTGAGCCCTACAGAAATCAGATGTGATGTCTGGAGTCCATAGGTTTGCAGGGCCTTTGGACCAATTGCATTTGAGAAGTACCTCCATTTATACCAGCTTCCTCCACCTTAGGTTTAATCACCAAAATTTTATGGAAATAACCTTTACTCATTCAACAAAAATGTATTGAATACCTTCTTGTACTAGTATTGTGCTAGTGTCGGATAAAATAGTAAACGAGGAAGTCACAGTTACTGATCATAATAGATGCTAGGATAGAAACAAATAGGGATGTCACCTACTTTAGATGAGGGGTGGTTGAGAAGCCCTGAGACTAAGTGTTGAGGTGACACCAGCTATTGAAGGAGCTAGCATTATGGGAGTGGGCAGAAGAGCATCCCAAGCAGAGGAAAGCACACATCCAGTGCCCCCAAGGAGGTGAAGAGCTTGCTTTATTCAAGACACTAAATTCAACCAAGGTGGCTGGAAAATAGTAAGCAGGAGGGACAGTACCAAAAGATGAAGGCCACCTGGACCATGGATGCCAGGGTTAAGCATATGGGTTTGTTATGAGTTCAGTGGAAAATCCTTGAAGGTTTAAGCAAGGGGCTAGAATTATCCAAATTACATTTTGAGTATGTCAGTCTTGTTGCAATATGGAGAGGCTCTGGATTAAGACAGTTGGCAGCAGAGACAAAAAGAAGTGAATCTTGAGAGGGAGAATTCAAGGACTTGGAGACTGACTGGCTGTAGGCCAGGGAAAGGAAGGAATTTGAAAGTTCTATTGGACTGAGATGAGCAAAATGGGGCAGGTGAGATCAGAGGCATGGGATGTGAGCTTCAATTCTGAACACATTTGCTATGTCTGAAGCATGGAGAAGGAGATAAGTTGGGACTTGGATGTGTGAGTGGGAGCTTGGAGGACAGTGAGACCTGAGGTCCGAGACGGAGAGATAACTTTGGAATTACCAGCATGTAGAGGATATTTAACATCCATGGGGATTCTCAGGAGAAGCCAAGAAAGGAGGGACCATGATTGGATGAACCCTAAGGAACACCAACGTTTGGAAATTGGGTAAAGAGTAGCAACAGCAAAGGAGACCAAGAAGGAACTTCAAGAAAAGTAGAAGACAATCCAGGGCCATATGGTATTGAAGAAGCCGAGAAGGTGAGAAGGCGGGCCTTCCGGAGGAGGAATGGCGATTGTGGTGTTGAAGAAGCCGAGAAGGTGGGTCCTCCAGAGGAGAATGGCGATTTATGGAATTGGGGAAGCCAAGAAGGTGGGCCTTCCAGAGGAGGAATGGTGATTTGTGTTGAATGCTACTGAGAGGTTGCAGAAGATGAAGCCAGGGAGCGTCCTTCACCTGTGGCATCGTGGCAAAAATCACAAATGACCATAATGAGCAGTTTTGGGGGATGCGTAAAGACAGGAGCCATAGTTTTATGGGAAGAAGGGTGAACAGAAGGGGAGGATAATTACTTCTAGAGGGTTTGCTATGAAGAGAGAGAAATGCAGCAACCACAAGACCATTCTTTAAAGATTGAAGGGCCAGAACTTGTTTTACACTCACAGGAAGGATTCCGTAGAGATGAATTACCTGGTGATTTGAGAGAGAGATCCGAGAACTGAAGAAGGGAAGTACTTTGGAAGGCAAGAAGGGCTCAGATCCAGCACAGAGGGAGGAGTCGGCCCCTAACAGGAGGCAGGCCACTTTTTGTGTTGTGAGCAGGGCTGGAGAGGGTAAGTGCAGGTGCAGGTGTGTTCGTAGTTGCAGGGATGCAAAAAGGAGAGATGGAATATGATGGCTCCATGAAGGCAGATGTCATTTTTCACTGCTGTGTCTTCCACATAGAAGAGTACTTGACACTTGGAATATGCTTAGGAAACATCTGTTGAGCACGTCAGGACATCAGCCATGATTCCTCTCTACTCAGTGAAATATAAAGTGTGGACGGCTGGAGAGAGGTAGGCCCTACCTGCATTGGTCTGAGGAACCAAAAAATTGGTGCAACTCCAAATGAAAGTAATAAATTCATTCTCTTCTATAACTATTTCACTTCTTATCTTAATTCTAATTATCATAACTATTGCCAAAATTTATAAAAATATTTCTTACCCTTGCTATTTAAGAACTTCTATCTCCTATCTTTTGTAACTATCCTCATTTCATCTTTTTTATTTCACCCCCTGCTTTTGGAGGGTTGAGGGGAAGAAAGAAGAGAAAACATGTCACTAGAGAAACACAATACAATCTTGAGGAAGTTGTAAATGCCCATTTGAAGTTTGTGGTCAGTTATTTAAGAGAAAGCCATCGTGCCATTGTGTTCAGCTGCAGGGGTGCACGCCCAGGGAAGGTGAAGGTGACGTTTTCCAGACCTGGGATTTTGCCTTCAGATAAAAAGGACCATGGAGATCTGTGTTTTCCAGGCAATGCTTCTGGTGGTGGATGACAGAAGCTGTCAGACCAGGAAGGAAGGTGGGCTTGGAGAGGCCCATGCTGGAGAGGAAATGTGGGGCCATTTAATTAGAAGTCTTGATGAAGTTGAAGAGTTTAAACAATGTTCATACCTTAGCAAGAGATTTAGAAAGATAAGAGATGATCATTGGAAAGAGACATATTTGGAATTAGGATTTCAGAGGTGGTACAATTTCTCAGGATGACAGGGCCTGGATCCTGAGAATAGAAGGATGAAAAAAAGGTCAGCAGGATGAGAAGGTAAAACAGAAAGAATAGATTGATGGTGGCTTATTCATAAAGGAGTGCAAGTCCCCAGAATAATGACAAGAATTGGAGGAAAGGTGAGAACAGCCTGAAGCTGCAGCCTCTCAAGAATGAGGGGCTGCATCCAGGAGATCGGGGGCAGCAGTGAGGAGGTGAGGGTGAAGCATGGGTCTCAAAGGAGTGGTGGGTTTTGCAAGGGAGAGGAACCCAAGCATTTAGGGGTGTCATTAAGGAGCCAGGGGACAACCAGCTTCACCTCTGGCCTTGAAGGATATGAACATGAAATGAAAAGCAGTCTTCACTTGAAAAGGTTGCAAAGGAGACGGGTCAGTTTCAGTTAAGTCAGTGTGGACAGGGAAACCTTTCAAAAGGCTGATTATACAGGGGAGTTAGTTTATCATGAACAGGAATTTCAGGGGACACAGAAAAAGGGCTTAGGAGAGAGGGAAGCATGGAAATTGGCTGATACTAGGAAACGTATGGACCCATGTGGGACTGAGAGTTTGGGTGATAAGAATGATGGGCAGCTTGAGCCTCTGAACTGATGAGGTGGGGCATGAGGGATGCATTGTGATGATCTTTGGAGGGACGTAGGTGGACATCCAGAGCACCTGGCTGTTCTCACCTGTGCTCAGGCGTGCCTTGGCATTAAGGCAGCTTCTCGGTCTTCACCCCAAAAGGCCTCCTCAGTGTTAGGGGCTTGTCCATTTTAGATAGTTATAAATATGAAGCCATCTAATACAATCCAGATGATTTTTAAAAATATTTTGGGTCATCCAAGTTCTAATTGGGTCATTAAATGCTCAGTGGAGCTAACCCATTTCACTGCCCCACCCGTAGCCTACACAAAACTTCCAGACAAATGACGTGTCACCCTTCCCTCAGAATCACCTAGAAACCATCGCAGTTGCTTCAGGACTGGACAAAGAGCTTCTAGAGGATGAGCAGAAGGAAGAGAGGGGAAAATACTGAATTCAGGGAAAGAAAAAACCCAGGGAGCCAGGAAGGAGGATGGTGGCAGTGACTTGTGCCCCAGCTCCTTTCAAGGAAGACAGAGGCAAAGCTCTTTATCCGAGGGACAAGGCTCTTGGATTTGCAGATTTAGGTGCTACCTAAAGCTGTTTCTCTGGGACAAGAGCAAAGAGTGAAATAATTTACAGCCACAGACAACCCTGCTTTCTGCAGTGGACTCCATCAGGACAGGGCGCTTTGCCACCCTGTTTCCATAGTCTACAGGAGTCTCTGAAGTCACATCAACTGTAGGAACTCTTGTGAGGAAAACAGCGTTTGTAGTCCTTCCCTTCCAGTGGGTGCTGCTCTGTGTCACACATGGAGAGGGGACAAGGAAGCCAGTTGGTTTGGATCTCTTTTCCAGAAGATTCCCCAACCACTAGAAGATAAGATGCTTTTTGGCATTGGATTACCTGAAATACCTGAAAAAAAATCATAAATTGTACTTCCAGATATGGTCTGTTGCTTGTTTTTTTTGTTTGTTTGTTTATTGTTTTTTTTTTAAATTTTTTTAGGTCTTGTTTAATGTTGCCTCTTTGCATTTGATTTCAGCCATCTTGATAGTTTTTTCTATGCAATTAACAAGGTCCAGCCCTTTCTTGAGCCAGTTCACTTCATCAGTATCTGACAGGTGTCCAGGGATGAAGAAAACATTATTAGCAACAGAATAGAGAAGAAAAACAGCAGTGCCATGGGGGCCACCACTTAGACTGTCACAGATGCTCTCAAACTAATTACCTGCAAATGAAAAAAAAAAAGGAAGATGAAGATTACTGACAATCTAAGGAGTGCTTCTTTTTTGAAAAAAATTTCTAATGCATATAGAAAACAGGACATTGTCCACGTAGCAAGGAGAAATGGCTAAATCATAAGCTGATGTTCCTCTATGATGATGTTATAGTTTTTTTCATCCAAAGAGGAAACTATTTTTCATTAGTTTCTAAAAGATGACAGAGGAATGGTTAACTGAATTTTATTTTATTTTTCTTGAGAAATTCTCTCTCTGTTAGTCCAAGCTAGAGTGCAGTGGTGTGATCACAGCTCATGAAGCCTTGAAATTCTGGGTGCAAATGATTCTCTCGCCTCAGCCTCCTGAGTAGCTGGGACTACAGGTACATGCCACCATGCCCAGGTAATTTTTTTTTTTTAATTTTTTGTAGAAATGGGATCTTGCTATGTTGCCTAGGCTGGCCTCAAACTCCTGGTCTCAAACAATCCTCCCACCTCAGCCTCCCAAAATGCTGAGATTACAGGCATGAGTCACTGCACCTGACTGAATTTTTTTCAGTAAAAGGGAATAAGAGACAGAGGCAGCTGGGTATTGTGGAAAGCGTGGTCTTGAAAGTTTCAGCCTTAGTTCTAATGCAGCACTGTGGGTTTCCTGCCTGTGTGAATGTCAGCAAAAGATGGCAGTTCTTTGTGGCGTCCAGGGCCACATCCATCACTTCACAGAGTGGACAGAGAATTTACCGAGCAGCAAAGTGTCAGTGCTGTGGTTTGGTACACAGCAGTAGCTCAGTGAACAGAAGCCTGATCAGGACCCCTCTGCTCTAGGAGGGATTGAGGGAAAAGCCCGTGGAGGGAGTCCCGGAAGTGCTTTTGGCTGAGATGTAACAAAAGCTAGAATTTATGGAGTGGTGTGGGGAAGCAAAGGAGACCCGAGAGCTGTACCTGAGTGCCCCCAAAAGGATACTCTGGGAAACACCATGACAGCACAAAATCAACCTCCTTAGCTTGGAGGACCTCAAAGGGGGCCACACAGCTCCCGGATGGCTGGCAAGCATTGACTCATTTTGACAGAACATTTGCCATTTCTCTCAGGCTTGAGTTTTACCTAGGATCCCTGTACTTCACATTTCTTGCAGATTTTAAAATTAGATTTTCTTTTCCTATGAAAACATGCAAATTAAGCATCCTAGTGAAGCAGCCTCTCCCCTCCTACAAAGGAGAGGCCTTTTGGATGGTGTTTCGATGGTGAGGGATGTTTACACTTGGTTCCCCCATAACCACACTTCTCAGGTGACCACCCATGTGTCTTTAATGTACTTAACATGCAGCCAACAGTCAGCAAGAAAGGGGAAGTTCACTGGCCCCTCTGGGGCTTGAACTTGCAACCATTCCTTCATTATAGAACACTTTTCTACCCAAATGCAGGTCTCTTAACTGCCTGCAGACCAACAAAATACAATATCTATTTCATTATACTCTCCCATGACCCATGATTGAAATTCCTAAAACATGAGTTTATTGAAACTTCTATGAATTTTATGCTTTAAAATGAATAGTTTTGTTCTTAATAGAATCCATGAGCATACACATAAAGACTGAATAATTTCCTCCCCAAAGAAATAAAATAGAAAGTATAGCAGTGAGTCAAGATTCTACCTACATAACGCATGTTAATGAAATGTATTTTTTGCTATAATCTGATAAAATACAGGAGAAAAACATTTATTGTTTTCCTTGAGTTCAGAGTAGTATTCTTTGTGAATATTTATATTTATTTTCAAATATTTTCACAACTATTATACAATCAATTCAAAATTATTTTAGTTGTCTGTGGATTATTCACTTTATGAAATCATATCTAGAATTTTGCAAACTATTTTTAATAATAACTTAAAACTGTCAATATAGTTTGACATGTAAATATTAGCGTATCTGCACACACACAGACGCTCACTGTGCATTCCATAGACAAAACATGCATGAGTGATTTTTTAGATAATTTCCACTCTTGAGCTCAGTTGAGGATGGACTCTATATAAACCCAGTTCACATTATAAATTAATCACATTCCTCCAAGTTAGGCTGTTTATAAAATGCGATTCTATATTGATAAGTTAAAAAGCCCTTGGAACTAATACAAGAATATCAAGGGAACAGTGTTTATTACTTTCCACCACTTGGGGTAGATTTATTAGTTCCTTTACCATTATCACACATATTTTATACTGAGGTACAGTATTCTGTATTACTTAGTGCTAGTTTGTCACGACTCTCCATTAATGTACTTTCAACCTCGTCCCAGTAAATGGTTAAAAGGATCTATAGAAACTATAGATTGTATCTTGAAGGTAACTAAGTAAGGATCTTAGCTAATGATATATAATTACATAACTAAATTATTTCCTTAGTATATTAAGCTTTCTACAAATACTAGCACATTCTTTTTTCTAGGTCAGTGTTTTCTTATAAATGTCACAATGTTAATTTTGAAAAGTAATACTTTCAGTAGGCATATTTCAGGTATGTTGTGTACTTTTTCATCAACAGAAATTCCCAGGCACATATGTTAAAATATTTGTCTTCCTTTGAAAAAGGAATTATATGCTCAAATGCTCTTGAGTTTATCATAAACAGAATAAATACAATAATTTTTAATAAATTCCCTAGCTAATGAATGGAAAGGGGGACATAATTTTTAAAATTCCATCAACATTTGAGACCACTATGAATGTAGTCAACAAGAATTTCTAAATTGTTATTGGACTTTCTCCATAGATTAACTTCTTCCTAGATAAAAACTATTGTCATAATAATAAAATTACCTAACTAAATTAAATAGACTAGGTGATTTGTTGTCAAATGAGAAAATGGTCAATTACTTAAGAGCAACTAATTTAAAATAATTATGTAGGTAACATAATCTTGAGTTACTGTTATTAATTTCCATTGCTATTGATTATCTTATTAGAATTCTTTAATTAATTGTCACTAAATGGAGTTAGATTTTATTAATTTATAATTATTTACTGTCTACAAACTATTGACAAGATACTATGCCAAACTCAGGGCGTGTGGATGCACAAAAGGATAGAGGAATGAGTGCAAAAGTCTGTAATAAGGGTTTAAAGGGCTTGGAGCACTTTAGGTCTCATGCAGTCACCAGATTTACCCCGCCAAAGACCCCTCTCAGGACAAAGCCCCACACTGAGGAGAAATTTGCTCAGAATAGAAAAGAAAAAAAGGAAAGAGAAAGTCTAGTTAAAAATGGGATAACAGAGTTGTAAGATTGCAGAAAGGAAGACCCCATATTTTTGAACACTGCCCAAAACACCAGAAGAGAAAAGTCCACAGCTTTTCTGAATTCTACGTCTTTGTAAAATTGCAGGAGAACTAATTTCATGTAAAACTGAGCAACAGCAGAGGAACAAGGTAAAACTCTAACAGAAAAGAAGCAAGGTTCAGTCCCATACAAGGTTATTAAAATGATGCAGTGAATGAAGAACAAAATAGCATCCTTATGAACAGTGGAAGAATGCCCCAAATCAGAGGAAAGCAGAAATAACCTTTTCAAGATGAACCAAGTTATTAGGAAATTACATAAATACATATAATAGATATTGTCTTAAAAGAAATAGAAAATGAAAAATGAAGAAAATTCTAAAAAACACAAATAAGAAAATTAAAAAGGGATTTGAGATAAGCTGTTAGAATTAGAAGTGAAGTAAAGAAGATCCAATATATGTATACTAGGAATGACATAAGAAAAACATCAAAGCAACAGAGCAAAGTGAATACTAAAAACTAAACTCAGTACAACTTTCCTGACACAGTATGCTTGTGAAAATTGATGCAAAAATGACCAGCACCAAGATATATTCTAATAAAATTCCTGGATTCTAAAGAAATGAAAAAAATTCCTTGGGCATCTAGGCAAAAGAGGGCAATTAATTTACAAAGGGGAAAAAAAAACAGTGTTTTCAGGCTTATCCATAATACTTTGTGCCAGAAGAACATGAAGTAAGAGATTTCAGATACTCAAGGGGGAAATATATATACAAGAAAATATATACACACATACAATCGCTGTATGTATAATATATCGGGATTGTATATTCCTTATATGTACAATGTAAGAACCTGTAATTCCATATATTCCTTCTATGTGTAATATAAAGATTTTTTTATTCAGCCAAACTCATTATCAAGAATAAAAGCCCTAAATAAACTGTTACTATGGAAGAACTCAGTGAATATATTTCCCAGGAACTCTTCCTGAGGAATTTACTAGAGAACAAGATTCAAGCAATCAAAATTACTGGGGAAACATCAACCATCAACATAAGGACTGATGGTTGTGCCTGCATGCGTGTGTGTGTGTGTGTGTGTGTGTGTAGAAGATAACATGAAGGCTAAGAGAAAGAGAGCATAGCTTGAAATGGCCACATATGTTAGCAGAGTGGATACATTACAATTATTTTAAAAATTTTGTGGGAGAATGAGTAGAGCATGTGAAAACATATTTGAAGTTTTTAGAAATCGTGGGCACAGTGATGGTTTTGTTATTCTGAAATTGTGTAATGTGAGAAAAAGCAAATGAGCAATTATGGAATATTGTAATTATGTCATCTTCTGTGTTCTTGAGAACCAGTGTGGAAGAAAGGGAGAAACAGATGTAAAATAGAAAATGTTAAGTAAAAACCTTGTAGTTCTGAGATACCTCTCCTTCAAAGTAAGAACTGAGAGGACTTAGAAATAATGATTAACTTAGGACCACTAAACATACCTAGCACCCAGTTTATGGTCTTGAAATTTTTAAGAAGCAGTGCTTCTTTTAAAACCTGGCAATTCCTGGTCTGGGGCAGGAAATGTATAAGATGCACCTGAGTAATTTTCCATAGCAGATAGTGGAGAAGGTATTAAGTGGTGTCAGGTTCATGTTACGGAAAGTCAACTTGATAGGATTACCATTGGCCAGGGATGAGATAGTTGTGCTTCAAGAAAAAAAATCACTGCATTAGATTAAAACACAGTTAACACATAATATGTGTAAGTTTATGAGTTTATAAATGTTCATTGAAAAAGAAGAATCAAATATTTTAGCTTGCGTTTCCTGTTCAAACAATATCACCGGGTAACCAAAAGCAGAAGTATTCTAACTAATAAATGAAGGAATGTTTGAATTAAAATATCATTTTTCAATCCCAATAAATTAATCTAGTTACTGAATGTTAATGGCTGCTCAACTTTTTGAAAAGAGAGAAAGACATTATAATCTTCCTGATAGAAGTACAAAACACCATCTATGAAGTAATATTACAGAGAGAAAGAAGAAGGAAGAGGAGAAAGAGGAGGACAGAGGGATAGAGGGAGGGGGAAAAAGGAGGAAGGGAAGAGAGTGAAGTAGGAAGGAAAAAAGGAGGAAAAGAGAGGGGGTAGGCAGAGAGGAAAGAAGGAAGGAAAGAAGCTGAATTAAATGAAGCCTATAGACCAATTATCAATTCATAGGAAACAAATTATCAAGGTGCATTATAAACTGCAACACTGGATACAATCAGCAAAATGAAGACTGGGAAACTCTATAGTTCACCTGTCCTGCTTTCTTCAACAAATAAATTGCAAGGAAAAAAGACAGTGGAGGGTGATGGACTAAACAACACATCTTTAAAACAGACAAAAGTAGTGTTAGAAATGAACCTTGAGTGATAAAGAAAAACAAGAAAGTTGATTATAACTTTGGGAGGCTGAGGTGGGCAGATCACGAGGTCAGGAGATTGAGACCATCCTGGCCAACATAGTGAAAACCTGTCTGTACCAAAAATACAAAAAATAGCCAGGTGTGGTGTCGGGTGCCTGTAGTCCCAGCTATCTGGAGGCTGGGGCAGGAGAATCGCTTGAACCCAAGAGACAGAGGTTGCAGTGACCCGAGATTGCACCACTGCACTCCAGCCTGGGTGACAGAGCAAGACTCCAACTCAAAAAAAAGAAAAGAAAACAAAACAGACAAACAAAAACCATGGTGTCTTTTAGGAAGGGGTGAAGGTGTTATGATGAGAATAGATAAACGGAGGGCTTTAGGAGGCCCTGGTAAAGTTCTGTGTCTTGGCCTGGATAGTGTTTAAAAAGGTGGTCACTTTATAATGTATTAAGCTTATTCTATGTGATACTTACAATCAAAAGTGTGGGGTTGTTTGTTTTTTGTTTGTTTGTTTGTTTGTTTTTCAATGTGGAAGGATTTGGACAGGTCAAGACAAAAAAGTAGGTTGAGCAGTTCAGTGGTGCAGAGCTGAGGGAGAGGGGCTTGGCGGAAACTGAGATCATTCACAGTCATATGTGGAAGGTGAATAGAGCTGAGAGAGAGGGGCTTGGCGGAAATGAGATCATTCACAGTCATATGTGGAAGGTGAATAGAGCTGAGAGAGAGGGGCTTGGCGGAAACTGAGATCATTCACAGTCATATGTGGAAGGTGAATAGAGCTGAGAGAGGGGGGCTTGGCGGAAATGAGATCATTCACAGTCGTATGTGGAAGGTGAATAGAGCTGAGGGAGAGGGGCTTGGCGGAAACTGAGATCATTCACAGTCATATGTGGAAGGTGAATAGAGCTGAGAGAGAGGGGCTTGGCGGAAATGAGATCATTCACAGTCGTATGTGGAAGGTGAATAGAGCTGAGGGAGAGGGGCTTGGCGGAAACTGAGATCATTCACAGTCGTATGTGGAAGGTGAATAGAGCTGAGAGAGAGGGGCTTGGCGGAAACTGAGATCATTCACAGTCGTATGTGGAAGGTGAATAGAGCTGAGGGAGAGGGGCTTGGCGGATCACTGTGAGATCATTCACAGTCGTATGTGGAAGGTGAATACAGCTGAGAGAGAGGGGCTTGGCGGATCACTGTGACATCATTCACAGTCGTATGTGGAAGGTGAATAGAGCTGAGGGAGAGGGGCTTGGCGGATCACTGTGACATCATTCACAGTCGTATGTGGAAGGTGAATAGAGCTGAGGGAGAGGGGCTTGGCGGATCACCGTGACATCATTCACAGTCATATGCGGGAGGTGATTGAGAGATGTCCTGCTTCCTTTTACAATTCCAGCAAAACTCCAACCAAACTTAAACCCAGCATTCTTTCTACTTTGCCTTTGCAGCTCAGTGTGTGTGCAGAGAAACAGAAGACTCTGCTCATGAGTTTTCCTTTAAATTCATCATCTCTGAACTCAGGGGGCCTGGGTGCCGCCCAGCAGTGATACCAACTGCCTCCGCCCTCCCCTTCCTTCGTCACTCATACCTTTCTTCTTCCTCAAATCCCAGTACCCCCTCTGCCTGTCTGCACCTAGGCCTAAGCTCTCAGCCGGGCCTCCTTTACCTAAGGATGTCTGCCTTCCCTCTGAAGGCCAACCCTCCACACATCCTTTAGATCCCCCCCTCCAACCTACTCAAGGACAGAGCTCTTTCTCTGGCCTAAACTGTCCATCTGTGCTTCTCATCTCAGTCCTGCCTTCAGCATAGTATCATATCATTGTTTCTCCATTTTCAAAAATCCTTTACAACCCCAGAGTCCTATCCAATGGTCACCCCATCCCTGCTCCCTTTTTCAGGCAAACTCCTTTAAAAAAGTGTCCATTCTCACTTCTTTGAATTTCTCTCCTCCAAGTCTTTCTGGACTCCACTCCGAAGGCTTTTGGCTCCATGACTCCACTAAATGACTCTTGTCAAGACCGCAGTGGCAGCCACACACCCAACTCCAACCACAGCTCATCGTGGCAGCCTTCTTGAGATATGATCCCTTGGCTTTCGAGACACCTGAGTCCTCAGTTTTCACCTGCCTCATAGGCTGCTGCTCCTCAGTCTCCTTTGCTGGTGTTTTCTCACCTTCCCTGCAGAGGTTGGATAATCACATCTAAGCTCATAACACGGTCAGAGTGTCATAGATCAAACCTAGTGTTGAGCTTTACGAATAATTTCAAGGATGCAGGTAATCCTGAGACTCAGGCAGGACCTGGGGGCATTCAGGTTGCCTCCTCAGGTCCTTCGTTGGCATTTGGGGCTGTGCTCTAGGCAAGGTTTATGTGTGAAGCCTCTAAGAAATCTATGCAGCCATCACTCACATGCAATCTCTCAATTACATAAACTGTCTCATCGTTCATTACTTGATGAAATATCGTCATTGTATCCTCTGATAATTGCACAGCTTATGACACTGTCTAGAGAGCCTTACCCCATAAATTCAGAGATTCTCGTTCATTTGCCATCCAAACTCTTAGACCTCTTTTCTAGTAAATGTGCTGTATGTGTATGCCATTCACATGTTTACAAGGAGGCCAGGTCATCTTTTTCCTTCTTTCCTGGGGACAGAAGAATGAGAAAATGGATTAGAGGCTCATGCTAATGACTTCAAAATTTGTATTTAGGACCCATGCCTTTCCCCTAAACTACACTTATTTATTCAATTAGCTACTGGAAATTTTAACATTGCTGTGTAATAGCTTATCAAACTGAACATGAGCACAGTAGAAATAATGATTTCATGCCTCAACTCCCTACAAACACACACACACATACATACACACACATACATACACACACATACACACATGCACACACACATACACACATGCACACACACATACACACACGCACACACATACCCCTTTCTTCTTCCACAGTTGTCCCCACCCCCCACCTGCCTCCTGTCTTCTCAGGAAACAGGGAAATACACCACAGTCATATTTGACTCCTCTTTTTTTCTCACACCATCCATCCATCCTGACTGGATATTCTGCAATTTCTCCCTTTAATTTATACCCAGAATTCAAACGCTGATCCTACCTCCAGCACTACCTTCCCGGGTCGAGCCAGTGCCATCTCTTGCATAGATGTTGACATAAGCTCCTGCGGGCTTCTCTGCTTCCTGCCCACACTCTGGCCCTCCAGAGGGCATTCTGAACATAGCAGCCAGGTGGATGTCTTTAAAATACCAGTCAAATTACGTCATACCTCAGCTCCGACTTCTGCAGTGGTTCTGGTATCTTCCAGAATAACAGCCAGGGTTCTGAAAGCAGCTGTCAGGGAACTACACATTCTAGATCCTCCTGAACTCTCCAACTTCACCTTCTGTTTTTTCCCTCGTTGTTCACTCTGCCTCCACCCCACTGCCCACCTCGCTGTACCCTGAACAGCCAACCACATCAGCACACTGGGGCTCTGTCCCCTTACAGTGTTATCTGCTTGTCCAGAATGCTTATTCCCCCAGGAATCCATGTGACTTGCATTTCTAATCTTCAGACATTTGCTTAAAGGCACATGCTTTGTAAGGCACTCTCTAATCACCTCTTTAAGATTGAGATCTCCACCTTCTTTGGAATCTTCCTCTTCCCTGTTGATTATTCTCTTCCTCACTTAGCACCATTGGAAACAGTAGACATTCTGACCTCTCAGTATTGACTGTTACAGTGCTGTGGATGAAGGTGGAGAAGTCTGTTAATTCACTGCTGTATCCCCAGCACCTCGGTAGAGCCTGGAATGTGGTAGGCTCTCAATAAATGTTGCATTATTTGATTAATATTTGAGCAAACCTATTTGACTTGATCTGAGTTTATATTACAAACAGATCAAAAATGTAGGGCTGCCACGAAGAAGACCTTGAAAATGGTCTGATGGGGTTTGGAATTTATTTGCAGGCTGAAGAAAGCATTAAAGGAAACTGAGCAAATCAGTAACAGAAAGAAATGATGTCAGGGACACAGGAAATCATGCTTTAAGAATAAGAGTAATGATAAAGGGAAAATGTGATTCTTTAACATCAGTCTTCTTCTAGCTCAATGATATTGTGTGGGCTGCCAACAATTATGAGGTGGAATGCGGGGCCGATTTTCAAAATAATTATACAACCTTGTTGAATTTCAAATAGAGGCATGAAAATATCTTGCTTTATAAGATTGATAGTGATGTATTATAAGTGTTCATCATTTAATACATAAGTATGTTCCTTCAAATGTATATGAAATAAGATTGTTGAAATATATGTTGGTAGAAGCAATCTTATAACATACAAAGCTTTGGGATATCTCTTTTCTGAAGACAAAAAAGCAAAGAGTAAATTCACTTATATGTCTTGCCAGTTGAGTTTGATAGACTTTTTCTCATTGAAGCATATTTGTCCTCCTCTATCAACCCCCGGCCCTCTCCCTCCCCCTAGACACACACACACACACACACACACACACACACACACACACACACACACACGCATTATTTTACTGAAACTGGTTAAGCAAGAAATCCCATACACTGTCAGCTCCTACCCTTTTGGCTGAAATAAACAGTCAGTTTGAAAACTCACTCTGCTTTTTGGGTTTCGCAGTACAACCGATACCAGCAGTATGGTGCAGAGGAGTGTGTCCTGCAGATGGGGGGCGTGTTATGCCCCCGCCCTGGCTGTGGAGCGGGGCTGCTGCCGGAGTCTGACCAGAGGAAAGTCACCTGTGAAGGCGGCAACAGCCTGGGCTGTGGGGTGAGTACTGCCCGCACCCCTGGGGCGGTGTGTTCCTGTCCTTGTTTGCTTTTGCGCATGGGCTGGGATTACATTTTTATTTTATTCTCATTTTCCCTTTGGACTCAGACATCTTTGAACTTATGTATAAGAAAATAGATTTTAAATTCCTTTATAGGACTCCAGATTGGAAAATGTATGTATGTATTTTGGGGAAAAGAGTTGTATTAATATTTTCTGTTTGGTTGCTTATGGAAGTATTTACTTTAAGATGCTGTGAACCACTTAGGCCAGACTTTTAAACTTTTCTCCCAGCACTCAACTGATCCAGAGCAAAAATGTATTCTTTCTTCAGAGTTGCCTTTAAGTAGACAGGAGTGAAGGAGAAAGAATTCTCCATCAGTGACGTCTTACTGACATTGTTTGCCTAAGTGGTTTCAAGAAATAAAATGAAGGTTAATGTGGAAAACTTGAAATGTTATTGTGTCATAAAAATCGTTTTAAATAGAGATGAACAAAACTAATGGTGTCTCTTATGGAAGCAGAATAAGAAACGTGAAAAATGTTTGTTCTAAGAGGTCAAACCATGTGACCTGGCTGGCTTTTCGAATGAATCTATGGCTGCAGGCTGATGGCTCAAGGGGGAAAGAAGCATAACTCAAACACAAAAAGGCTTACTAAATTATAGGTTAAAATGACAAATGGATAATAATCCTGATATTAAATTTCATGCAGCCTAGAAAAGTAAGAAAGTGTATGTGCGTATAAAAGTCTATTGAATTTTGATGGGAAACGTTTCTTTTAAAATTGCAACTTCATGAGGAGTTTTGTGCAAGAAGGAGCACAGATAGCAGAGGTATATTTGCCAGTCCTGATTTGGGGCTGAGCCCTGTAAGTCATCTAGAAATAAATTAGCATTCATTCCCCTTAGTAAAGCTTCCTGTATGTCATGCAGTGGGGCTCACAAAACCCTGGGTTGAACAATGGAGTAGAGGAAGTGGAAGTTGAAAAATAATGAGATGCCATGGTGCCTAAGTGGAAAGAAATACCTCTGGATTCATAATCGTGATTGCATTTGAATGAAAACTCAAGTGATGTTTACTCTCCCTGGAGATGATGGAAATCAGGACACACTCTCCAGCCTTAGCCATCATCATGTGCTGAATTATCTGCACTGATTGTGTGTGGCCTCAGCAGGTTGCCAAACTCTGGGATCAGAATGCTAGCAAATGTTATCTTTTAAAATGAGGTTTTAACGAATCGTTTTTAACTACTGGCTAAATTGTGTGCTTCTGCCTGCTAATTGCCTACTGTGGTTCCATCCTCTAAAGCTGGATTTTAAGATTTTAACTTTCCTTAGGAGGTGGAGAATTCCACTGGCCCATCTTTTGCATTTGGTTGTTGACCTTGCTTTAAGAATGTTGAAGGGTTTATGTAATGTGAAATCTTGAATATCTTTATGTTCCCTTTTTTATACAAGTAAATCGTAAGTAAATAACATATATATATAAGCTCCAAATCATGGCAAATTATTTTAGAAGTGAATCAAAATGCTGTAATATCTTTGGATTAAAGGAGTTTGCAGGCAAACTTGACTTAAAGAAGGATAGCTATGTTCTCAAGGTTTCTTTGTCCTTTGGCAATTCTAGGTAATGTATTCTTACTTTATTTTAATTTGTTTTGATGTGTTGGTTTTGGAGGTGTGTTTGCTGGATTGTGTATTAGTTATCTATGACTGCATAGCAACTCCAAATTCTAACAATTTAACATAATAGAAATATATCATCTCACAGAGGTTCTGAGGGTCAGGAATCACCCGTGAGTGGCTTCACTGGGTAGTTCTGGCTCAGGGTTCCTCCTGAGTTTGCCGTTTAACTGGGTTGCAGTTATCTAGAGGCTTAACTGGGGCTGGAAGATCCACTTCCAAGGTGGCTCATGCACATGACTGTTGGCAAAAAAAAAGTCCTCAGTTCCTCACCGGCTGTTGTCAGAAGGTCACCGTTCCTTACCACGTGGCCCTTGTCTTAGGCTGTTTGTCCCCATGATGGCAGCTGGCTTTCCCCAGAGCAAGCAGTCCAAAAGAGAGAACAGGGAGAGGAAACCACAGCACCTTGTAGAACCAAATCCCCAAAGCTGCACCTGTCACTCTCACGTTATTCATTAGAAGTGAGATACTAGACCCAGCTCACTCTCAAAGGGAAGGGAGTTGGGCTCCATCTTAAAGAGGGTCAAAGAATTTATGGACATATTTTAAACCACCACAGTTTGCAATCTGAAGAAGCTGAAAAAAGAACAGAGAAGTGATTTTCTAAAGGATGCACTGAACTGTATGCCTTCCTTTCCCTCCCTCCCTTTTTGCCCCAGTCTCCATACTCTTTCACAAGCTTACGTCCATTCCCATTGCTCTGGCTTCTCAGCAGAGATAAATTGACCTCATCATCGCCCTTTGTCTTCAAATCCCAAACTTTCACTGAAGGATATTCACCTGACTTGGATGCTAAAGGAATTCCACAGTGATTTAAAAAAGGAGATTGCGTTGAATGTGTGAAGTTCAAACCCTGGCTTCACAAACTACTAGCGGTCTTCATCTTTGTCAGTTTCCTTATCTCTAAAATAGGATATATATGAGCAACTCTGTATAAGACTATTGTGAATAGTAAATGAGATAATAAGTGTGAAATACATAGAATAGTTCCTGGCATAGAGTAAGTGCAGATTTATTTAATATTTAATCAAAAGCTTAATGAATATTTATCCAAAGCTCACCCAAAAGATGCAACATTCAAGGAAGATTGCTTATGTGGCATTCATTGGATATACTCTTCCAAATAGTCTAGAATCAAGGATGTAGCCAGATCTACAGCAGGAAATTGGGCACCTAGACCTTACTATTTTTAGCCTTCAAATAATTGCTTTTCCTAAATACTACTTTGCCATGATGCCATTTGTTTATATTGTAATTGTTACACAGGAAATGTGATGCCTGTGGTTCAGACTTTTCCACAAGGAACCATGGTGACTATTCAAGTCTGATCTGAGTACCAAGCACACTTATGCTTGTCCTGAGGAAAGTTGCCTTTAAGGATGTTAAACCAACTGATAAGGTTTGCCTCTGAAAGTTGACTGCTAGAAAATCTAAAGCTACATCTGTGGGCTCTGGAAGCATATAGAGAGGTCATAAACAATGGATTTGGAAACTGGTTTCCTGGCTTTACTTGTTTCCTTCTTTCTCTTCCCCTTTTCCTGATGCATGTTGTTTTGCTGTGGTTTGTACATCCTTGTAAGCTGCCCATCTTTTCTGGGTTTAAGGAGTATAATGGAAAGCCATTGTCTGGAAGAAATTGTGGTTAGATTCTGTCATTTCAGAAGTAGAACATGGCCCAATACATAAAAGTTAGAAGAAGGTGAATCTCCTTTGACTCTTTGCTCTAATAGTATGGACAACGAAGAACAAAATAAGCTGCCTCGGGGAGAAGTGAGTGTCTCATTCAATACATCGTTCAAGGAAAAGTCATTGGTAGCAAAGCTGTAGAAGAAATATAGAGTTCTAGATGTGCAAAAAGCCCTAGACATCATTAACTCCAGTGATTCTCGGTGTGGTTCACAGATTTATTGTGAGATGCCTGTGAATTCACCCGTGCTTAATGTTTTTCCTTCAACTATCAAGATAGAAAAAGTACAACTCTTACTATGTGGGTATTCAAGAAATGTTT